TCTATTGTCAGTGTCCTCAGGTCAGGCATTTATGCAGAGAGGATCTCTGATTAATCTCTCCCCACCCGCTCCCACCCCCGCTTCCCTCTGAGATTCTCCAGCCAGCTCCAAGCTTCTATGTCTCTAACACTTATTTTAAATTGTTAATATCATTCACTTAAAAAATTGTTGGCAAATTTAAATTAGCTTTTTTGTCAACCAGAGGAATTTAAATGATTAAAATTAGTTTTTGTTTAGCCTTTGTCTTGGAATAATATAAATGTTAACACATATCTAGCATGTTTTTTAAATTAAGACATGATGAAGGCAATGGGAATGAATACAGCTGCGGTCTCATCAACCTTTAGCACATCACACAAACCCCTTGCACCTACGAGCAGGGTCTCTCGCAAGCTCAATACACACCTGTGAGTTGAAATTAAAACTTACTTGCAGTTCTGGCACACTTTGCACTCGGGACATTGCCAACCTGCCCGTTTTAATGGAGTGACCGCTATATCCAGGCACATTCCATGATAGTGCTGACCACAAGTGGTACAAAAGAACTGATCTAACAGGTCTCCCGGGCTGTCGCACACTGCACAGTTTGCATCTTCCTTTGCTATAATTAACGGTAAAACAATGAAATCGTTGTATAAGAATTGGATATTTTTCTGGCTTTACAGTTTAAAAATCACTTTAAGGGGATTTGCACGATAAATTTTTCAGACACTCGACGTTATACACACTGAAGCGACATCCAATCAGAATACTGTCCCCATAAAAACAATGCAATGTATTTAATCTAAATTTATTTACACTTAAGTTTAATCATCCAGTTTTGGGATCTGTGCCTACAGGTACTTGAAACGGTTCTGATGTACCTTTACATCCCTAGTACCAGTAGCAATGCTGGGTGCCTAGTTAACGCCCAATATACGCTGCTAGGGAACCAAACAGGGAAGCATCCTCTGAGGGCCGCCGGCCGTCTAAAAAGAAACACTTTATTTGGATGGTAAATATGTTCTGAAGTTAAAGTGAGACAAGAGACAAAGATTAAGAAATGTTAATATCAATTAAAGATGTTTCTTAAGCATAAACAGACTAACTTTTATTTAAATCAAGTAAGGTGGGGTTTGTTAATACTGGGAAATACCGGGTGTGGGAGAACATTCGGTGGAAGTTACACATTCATACCAGTGAGCACTTCAAGCACTGCTTCCGTGCTCGACTGCAGTAACTGCCACTAGCGAGAAACGCTAAGTTCTATTTAATTATGGACACCATCTGTCCCCTAAAAGTGGATCAAGAGAAATGGAACTTTTAACAGTTCTTTTACCACTAAAAGAAGAAGTAACTGTAAGAATAAACTGCCTTGCCAAGTACACAGGGAAACACGCACATCACGAAACAGGGAAGGTAATGTTTTCTGAAGCCGCACCAATCAGCCCGGCCGGCGTGGCTCAGCGGTTGAGCATCGACCTAGGATCCAGATCACAGTTCAATTCCCCATCAGGGCACATGACCGGGTTACAGGCTCGATCCCCAGTCGGGATGGGGGTTGGGGGGCAGCCGATCAATGACTCTCTCATCACTGATGTTTCTCTCTCTCCCTTCCTCTCTGAAATCAATAAAGATATATTTAAAAAAAAATGAAATTGCACCTATGTGACAATATATATAATTATGCCTACATCTGACAGGGCAGTTATGCAAATGAGCCCTGGGCTGGGAGGTACCCGCCCCAAGGCCGGACCCCAGGTGGCTCCACGCCCAACGTTCACCGAAGCTGCTTTAATGAGGCTGCCAAAGATGGCCTGTGGGCTCCAGGTTACCCTTCAGGCCTCACCCGAGTGCACCTCGGGGCATCTGCATTACTGTCCACGCCTGCCCTCCCCCCGCAGTAAGGCCTCCCTTCCCAGGGCTGATAGCGCGCCTGTCTCCCGGTTCCCGTAGGGTCCGCCTGCCTCCATCTCTTCCTCCTGGGCTGGCTTTTGTGCCTCTCGCTCCCTTTAAATGGGGTGTCTGGCAGGAGTGCAGCCTGTTCTTTCCTTTCTAATTCCCCGTGCCTTCTCTTTGTGATCACACCAACTCCCACCGTCCCCTGATCGACATCGCCAGCCCCAATGCATCATTTTCAAGTTTTCCTGGACCTCAATAACCACGTCCTACAGATACTCACCCAACGCCTCTAAAATAAAACCCTTTTAAAATCTAAGTCTTCCCCTTTTCTCTCCACCAGCTTAGTATCACCGTCGACTCCGACTCTTCCCGGACCCAACACACCCACCGGACACCGGCTCTTGTTGAGCCGCCTGCCTGTGCCCCGTCCTTCCATGAGGACAGCTTGGTCCTCGCGCTCCCTGCCTTGGTCACTACGGCCCCTGAGCGGGTCCTGGCCTGCTCCCTAAATCAGCTCCTACTCGCCCAGAGAGTCTCAACACTGGGCCTCTAGGCCCTGACGCTGAAGTTCACCAGTTCTTCCTTTACACCTAAAATTAAGATTAAAACTTTCTAGTATGAGGCAAAAAAAAAACCAAAAAACCCACCCCGAAACAGAAAACCATGACCTCCCTTTCCAACCGACTCTCGGGACCACCAGCATTTCCTGGTCACGGCGAGCAGTTTGCTGCACACGGAACACGCCGTGGTCAGGGCCATGCGCTGGGACGTGGCCTGTTCCCTCTGCCTGAATGTGGTTCCTTGTCATGCCCAGAGCCCCTGCCAAAGAGACTCTCCAATCTCTGCGCGAACGTGTCCCGAACATGGACTATCGCGCACCTAAGAGCCCGTGTGTGCCGCTGCTGAAGGTTCCCTCTCTGTGCGCTTAGAAGGCGCTGCTTCATTGATCACACCACAACACTGCTCCCACCTGGCATCCTCAGCTGCCCGGCACAAATAAAGTCTTATTAAATACATATTTTAACTAAGTGACTTGCTTCTAAAATCACTTTTCGATGGCTCTTTGATTGACAGGCATTAATTTAAAAGTGGAAATGTCACACACTAGTTCATTTTTTATAGACATGGCATAATGGGTGAATTATTTCCATTAGTACTAAGAGGGAGGGGTAATGCTTACTAGTTTAAGCCGTAGGATATTTAACAATGAATCTGGTGTCCGCCTACCCTCAGAACATACGAGAAACTGGGGCAGACACCGGACCCTGATGACCAGATGCTCAGCCATCTTCCTCTGTAACCTGCCAGGAACACCATCCAACGTGCTCCCGCGGAGCCTCCTGGAGCCCGCCTGCCACTCCCACCTGCCCC